CCCCTCTTGTTAGCTTTCCGAGGCTATTTCCTTCTCCTCCTTAAAAGTCCAGCTCACATGATATCTCCTCCAATTGATCTTTCCTGATCATTCTCGGTAGTTAGGGTTTTACCTGGCCACCAGTTTGCTGAAGGCAGTATTGTTCTCATCTCGTTCTCTGTAACATGTCTGTGCTTCCCGCAGCCCTTGGAATGTGGAGGACACTCTGTGTGCACACCAGCTGAACAGGCCTCTATGGGTGCGTCAGGGACTTTCCCTGTGTGGATAAGACGGTTCCGTGTGGATAGCTTGCCGGCAGCACCCATGAGGTTATGATGACTCCAGGACTACTTGTTAGGACTGCCATTTCCAATGGCTACAGTTTTAATTACCTTTGGATGCTTTGAAAAATAGTAAAATCTTAAAAAGGGAATATCAAACTGCAATTGGGGAAAGATAAGAAATGACCCTGGGGGAGGGGTGGCAGGAAGCACAGGGTGTCCCAGAGGAAGAGTCCTCCAGAACAACACTGCCACCCTTCCTCCAGGGCTTCTCTGTGCCCAGCAGTTTGGCAAGAACCTCGCACACATCATCGTTTTGTTCTTCACAGATCCCCAAAATACAGAGATTCTTTTGCTGATGAGAAGATAATTCCTGGCATACAACGGGCACACCACAACCTTATTTTGACTGAATGTACATACATTGAAATTATTCTGTTACACAAAAGCCTCCATTCAGAGATACAAATGCACATTAGAATATTCATTAAAACATAAAATACTGGCAATAAACATCGCATTAATTCTCTTCCAACTTTCCTAGATGATTCTGTTCCTTGTCCCCTTTGTGTTTTGCGGGGAAGGGCTAAGGAGTATCAGCAGCCATGAGAAAGAGTGTCCGTGAAGATACATTGGGAAACACCAATCTAGAATAACGTTTCACTTTCTGTGAGTTCTAGTACAGAGAAAGCAAGTAAATGTATTGATGATAATGGAATTAAGGTTTATAATTGTCAAAGAAAGGAGTCACAAATACAGAAAGGAGGGGACTAGAGAGAATCTCGTTGCATTGGGTTTGGGGTCAACACGAACTCAGAGTTTTTAAACATGAATAGGTAATATAACAATAGCGGTCTACATGAGGGTATGCTTCTGTGTGTATTCTGTAGCACTGTCCAACCGACAAGGCTAAGAACAAAGTTCCTCAACTTCCGCACTGTGGTCATTTGAGACGTAAGGATTTGTTTCTGCAAATTGTCCTGCGCATTGCAGAATGCTGATCAGCATCCCTGCCCTCTCCCTAAATGCCAGCAGCACCTGCCTCACACTGGAACAATCAAAAACATCCCCAGACATGACCAGACGTGCCCTGGGAAGCAAAGTTGCCCCAGGTTGAGAACCACTGACCAAGGGCTGGCAGCATTCCAGGAAAGGAGAGCATGGGTGGCACACGGGCATCGCTTTCTAAATTCACTGCAGATTCCAGCCACTGATTTTAGGCTTGGATCAGGGAAACAGAAATCTGGAACTTCTGATTATATCAGAAAGTAAGGACAGGCTCAAATAATGATGGAAATATGGCAAGAGGACAAAGGAAGCAGCCTGAAGGGGCTCCCACTAGCCCACTCTGAGGTAATTTTAACATTCTAATAAACAACGCAACAGATTCCAACTCACTGAGTAAAATAAGAAACTACAAGTCACATAGATCTATGGAAAAACAGATGACTAACAGAGAGACAGATAGATAGATAAAACAGAAAAGTTTTTCCTTGCAGTATAATGAATGCCATTTATAAGTATTGAAAAAATGAAGTTAGGGATACAATTTGCAAGCAAGCACAATAACAATCGATTCAAACAGAAATGACTATTGCATGCTAAAGCTAGAAAGCGAAAGTGGGCCGGGCGCGGTGGCTCAAGCCTGTAATCCCAGCACTTTGGGAGGCCGAGGCGGGTGGATCACGAGGTCAAGAGATCGAGACCATCCTGGTCAACACGGTGAAACCCCCTCTCTACTAAAAAAATACAAAAAATCAGCTGGGCATGGTGGCACGTGCCTGTAATCCCAGCTACTCAGGAGGCTGAGGCAGGAGAATTGCCTGAACCCAGGAGGCAGAGGTTGCGGTGAGTCGAGATCGCGCCATTGCACTCCAGCCTGGGTAACATGAGTGAAACTAGGTCTCAAAAAAAAAAAAAAAAAAAAAAAAAAAAAAAAAAAAAAAAAAAAAAAAAAAAAAAAAAAAAGAAAGCGAAAGTGAAAATCTGATAAAACAGACATAAATGTATATTTCGAAGTATTGCTCCAAGAAATACTGATTAATTATAAAGGGGGGAAAAGTAAACCGTAGTGGAGAGCACTGTCAGATGCCATCTGAACCTGGGAGTCAAAGTGAGTGTCTGTCGGCAGTGGGAGAGCGATGTTGTGGCCTCCTGGTACGAGGCACTGAGAAACACAGCATCACATCTGTAATTCTCCTCTGAAAATCTGCATAGCCTGAATCGAATCCATTGACAAACCACATTAAGGACATTTTACGAAATAGCCAGTTATCTTCAAAAATGGCAAGATCGCAAAGATAAAAAGACTGATAAACTGTTTCCGATGAGAAGAGACAGGCGGCCTGGCAAGGACTCGCCATTGGTGAACTGCAGGCGACAGATTAGACAATGGCGTGTACCCATGCTAGTGATTCTGCTCGCCGCACCGAGGCTGTGCTACAGAATGTCCCTGGCCTCAGAGGACACACAAGAGAACGCCTAAGGACCAAGGGAGTCAAGCCTGCAGCTTGCTCTGAAACAGCTCAGGAAACCCCATAACAGTGTGTTCATATACAGAAAGAGAGGGAAAAGCGCGTGAGACCAAACGTGAAGAGCGGGAGGGTCTGGGTATATCCAGAGGCTCTTTAGATTACTCTTGCTGCTTTTTGTAAGTTTGAAGTCACTTCAAAACTACAATAAAAAAGCTTATTATTACTTCTTCTCTAATGATTATAAAAAAATAAAATTACTTCATTTTTCTAAATTTATTAATGGCATTTTTTACTGCAAGGAAGAGTTTTTCTCCCTTCTATATCTATCTATCCATCTATCTGTCAGTCATCTATTTCTCCATAGAGCTATGTGACTCGTGGTTACTTATGTTATTCAATGAGTTGTAATCTGTTGCTATCTTTTATTTGAATGTTTAAATTATCTCAGAGTTGGCTAGTGAGAGCCCCTTTAAGCTGCTTTCTGTGTCCTCCTGACATACTTTCATCATCTTTTTGTCTTTTAAAAAAAAATTAGAAATACAGCAAAGTGCTGCCTCAGCACTGAGACTCCAGCCCCACCCAGCATGCACAGACCTGTGGGCTCAGCTGGTTGGGAGGTCATGGCTCAGGCTTCCCAGCGCAACATGGATTTCGCAGCCAAGCCACAGCACCATGAAGCTGCAGGCCAGCTGGTTACTAAGGATGCACTTCAGCGGTGTCCACACCCTGCACTGTTCCTTGGAGCAGAGAAACAGGGTGTGAGCCGGGAGGGACTGGCGTACTGGAGACAATGCAGGCGCAGAGGCTGAGGATGAAGGGCCCTCCACCTCCCCCAGACAAGTTGGCTCGCAAGGGACAGACACGTTCCCCACCCCTCACTCTGCCTGCACCTCCGTCTGCAACACAGGGGAGGTCACTGCTGTTTCCCAGCCCCTTTCTTCAGTTTCCTGCTGGGTTTTCACATAAGCCCCCTCCCACATGTGCACAGCCCCATCAGGATAGGGCTGTGAGTCTGGTCCCACATTGCCAGCAACGGGTAGAGGCGGGAATGGAGGTAGAAGGGGGTAAATTCTTCATCGGGAATAACACAGTAATCAATGGATCACAAACCATAGGCCTAAAACGGACTTTCTGAAGCTGTGGCCTTTGGCCTGCTCATTTTTGTAGAGAAGAAAGAGAGGTCCTGGAAGGGGAGCTGCTTGCACTTGGAGTACTCCTTCTTAGAAACCAACACTTCCCAGACATCCCACAATGGAACAAAGGAGACAGAGATATATCCGCCTTGATAACAGGAGTTCAGCCAACCACAGCCTCACGAACTCCACAGGCTTCCTGGGTGCCCATGTGCCCTGTCACAGCATTGTTTTCCCAAGATTTAGAAAGGTATGCCAGGATGGATGGACCACTGGCCCCCTCGCTGGAACTGAAGTATACATCCATGCCCCCTGCCACGCGGCTAGCAGCGCCTCTCTCCAGATAATGCAGAGTAGACCCCCATTGCCGTTGGGCATGGTCACGGGTCTTGCTTGGCCCATAGAATGTTAACGCATGTGACAAGTACTCTGAACTTAATCCTGCATGCGTGAGAGCCTGGTGCCTTCTGAGCTTCCATGAGAAAAACCTGGCCCAGACAGGCACCGCCCCTGCATCATGGGCCCCATTATGAAGACAGCAGCCAAGCCAGCACCAGACCCGCTGACCCCCAGCCCAGGTACAGGCTGCAGAGCATGACAGGGATAGCTTGTTGCTGTCAGCCCCCAAGATGCTAAGGTTTTTCCTAGGGAACAGTAGCTGACTAATGCATGAGTTATCCCATTTTCCATGGTACATCTTCTCTACTCTTAACCAAGTGAGCCCTTGGCTGCCCCCGTAACAATCTGTGTTCCAGAGCAAGTACTTAAGATGGTTGTTACAAGGACTAGAAACAAGAGCTTTAAATATTTCCTTCTGCTCAGGCATTAGAGAGAATGCAGGGGCAGAGGCTGAGGATGAAATGGCTCGTGCCTGAAATCCCAGCACTTTGGGAGGCAGAGGTGGAAGGATGGCTTGAGCCTAGGAGTTTGAGATCAGCCTGGGCAACACAGCAAGACACTGTTTCTACTAAAAATTTTAAAAATGAGTCCGGCATGGTAGTCCACACCTCTAGCTCCAGCTACTAGGGAAGCTGAGGCGGGAGGATCGCTTAAGTCTGGGAGGTCAGGGCTGCAGTGAGCTGTGACTGCGTCACTGCACTCCAGCCCAGGAGGCAGAGCAAGCCCATCTCCAAATAAATAGTTTCCTTCTGGCAAGTCCTAAATGCGCATCTCTCAGATTCAGAGGACAGCATTTAACTCTCTCCAGGCAGATGAATGAACACCTGTGCTTTCCTCAGTCCGCCACTGCCTCTGCTCCACTCATGAAACACTCTTTGTTTTATGGATGACGTATTGCCCGCTTCTAGACTCTAACTCTAAACGGGATGCGTTGTAATATTTTCTTCTGACACCTGTAGCTATGGATAGGACTTGGGAACTTTGTCCAAGGTCTCCAGCACATGCAGGCAGCTGTGGTCCTCACATATCCCAAGAGAATTCCGGTGTTGCTTTCAGTGTTTTATTCTCTTCAGAGGACCTGAGTGTTTAGGAGATAAGAAATGGGGAAAAGAACTTGAGTTTCAAAAAAATGAAACCAAGAAAAAAAGTTGATTTTTGCCAGGATTGCAAGAATAAGAACCCCATAACAGGGCTGTTGCAGAGGAGTGTTTAAAGCCACCATTTACAATCCCATAAAGTGTAAGCCAGATCAGAGATAACAGAAATTAAAATGAAATTGCAAATCAGAAACACACCCTTCTTGGCTCTGCTTACTTCCTTCTCTGGGCTTCCAGTGTCCAGCGTTATTGGAGGGTAATTGCAACTGTCTGGGATAAACAGAGATGGGTCGGAGATTTGCTTTCCACTGTTCCAATGCCTGGGAGACAAGAGAAAAATAGCAGAACGAAGTGGGCTCTGTGCGGTATGCAGAACACATCAGACGCGGGGAGATGTGAGTATGGGACCTCAGCCAGGTCCTCCCTACCCACGGCTGGGGGCAATCGTTTAAAGCCATTCTATCCCTGATGACCTCTCTCACCCGTTATCTTCCCAGTCCCGGAAATAAGCATAGCCAATCTACAGCATATGTTATCTTAATGTAAATTCTTGGTAAACAATTTAGAAGTGTTTTCTTTCAAAACTCACTTGCAACCGCTGCTAATTGGAGCACATCTTCAGGGCAGCTTGAATCTCTGCTACTAAGTTGCGATCTTCACATTTGGCCCATATAAACGTTCTACTTATATTAATTTTGCCTGAGTTTTTTCTTTTACGTCCCCACCTTTGGCTTGCCAGCGATGTTGTGATCATAACTCACCATGGGGCTGAGCCACAGCTGGATTCTAATTAGATCACATGGAATGATCAAGTTCAGGGTTCATGTTAGGTCTCAGGGCAGCCAATTCTAACAAGTCCTGAATTCCGAAGACCCTGTGAAGCCTCTGTCCATCCAGCTCACAACGGAGACAAATCCCAAAGCTTCCACAGTTTTCCTAAGCCCCTGTCTTGTTCAGTTTCTTCATTCCCACAATCCAAGCTCCTCCAAGGACTTGCATTGCCCAAGCCTAACATTCAGGCATTTATATAAAGATAAGCAGGAAGCCAGAGGCCAGAGAATGGAGGAGTGCAGGCCAGCTGGAAAACGTTGCGTAACAGTGGCCTCACCCAGCTGGGGACACAGTCCACACTGAGAAGGCCCAGGCCAACCGGCCTTTTATGAGGGCATGTATGTCTGTGTGTGTGTGTGTGTGTGTGTGTGTGTGTGTGTGTGTCTGTATGTCTATGTCTGTGTGTGTGTGATGGTTAATATTGAGTATCAACTTGATTGAATTGAAGGATGCAAAGTAATGTTTTTGGGTGTGTCTGTGAGGGTGTTGCCAAGGGAGACTGACATTTGAGTGGGTGGATTGGGAAAGGCAGATCCTCCCACAATCTGAGTAGGCACCGTCTAATCAGCTGCCAGCATGGCCAGAATACAAGCACGCAGAGGAACATGGAAAGACCAGAGTGGCTTAGTCTCCCAGCCTACGTATTTCTCCCATGCTGGATGCTTCCTGCCCTCAAACATCAGACCCAAAGTGCTTCAGCTCTGGGACTCTTGGACCTTCGGCCCCAGAGTGAAGGCTGAACTGTCGGCTTCCCGACTTTTGAGGTTTCGGGACTCCGACGGCCTTTCTGCTCCTCAGCTTGCAGACGGCCTATTGTGGGGCTTCACCTGGTGATCATGTGATTCAATACTCCTTAATAAGCTCCCTTTATGTATACATCTATCCTATTAGTTGTCTCTAGAGAACCCTAATACGATGTGTATGTATGTGGTGTGTGTGTATGTGTGTATATATGTGTGTATCTGTATGTATGTGTGTGTATGTCTGTGTGTGTGTATGTGTGTGGCAGGCCAGGTCTCACTAGCAGCTGAATAGGCAGGCCTCCGGAACAACTGTGTCAGCACTGACTGAGTGGGTAAGTTAAGTATTAAAAGCTGAGAGAGCCAGAGCCCTTATACAAAGGATGGACTGTAACAAAAACCCACCAAGAGTTTTACTCAGGCCTTTCCTGGGCCTTGAAGCATGACAAGATAACGAAGGAATTCTTAACAGGGCCCGATTAGGATTAAACAAGTTTTTATTGGAGTCTGAAGAAACTCCCCAGACTTCCACAAACAAGTTTATTGGGGTCTGAAAGAACTCCCCAAACCTCCATCATTTAGCAGGAGACAAGATTAAGGGTAATCACCCAACACCAGGACCCATCTAGATTAAGTAAATGTACTGAGGCTCCGGAGGAAGGTCTTCAGGGCTCAGAACTCAGTCGCAGATTAGAAGAAGTGAATCACTTATGTCTTTAGATAAATGCACACTTACACACAGACATACGGCTTAGAAGGTATCTAGCTCTGGAAAACTTGGTAATTTTGAGTTGGTCTGGTGATATTTTCCAGGCCTTCTCCCTGTACCCGGCTGCAGAAGTAAACTCTCTTCTTTCTCATTTCATCTGCATCTGGTTACTGGCCTGAGAGAAAGAGCAGCTCCACCCCTGGCTTGATCGGGGAACATGTGTGTGTGTCTGTTTGTATGTCTGTGTGTGTATGTGACTGTGTGTGTGTATGTCTGTGTGTGTCTGTGTGTGTGCGTATGTGACTATGTGTGTATGTCTGTGTATGTCTGTGTGTGTGTATGTGACTGTGTGTGTGTATGTCTTTGTGTGTATGTGACTGTGTGCGTGTATGTCTGTGTGTGTCTGTGTGTGTGTATGTGACTATGTGTGTATGTCTGTGTGTGTATGTGACTGTGTGTGTGTATGTCTGTGTGTCTGTGTGTGTGTATGTGACTGTGTATGTCTGTGTATGTGACTATGTGTGTATGTCTGTGTGTATATGTGTCTGTGTGTGTGTATGTCTGTGTGTCTGTGTGTGTGTATGTGACTGTGTGTATATGTCTATGTGTGTATGTGATTGTGTGTGTATGTCTGTGTGTGTATGTGTCTGTGTGTGTATGTCTGTGTGTGTCTGTGTGTGCGTATGTGACTGTGTGTATGTCTGTCGTGTATGTGACTGTGTGTGTGTATGTCTGTGTGTGTGTATGTGTCTGTGTGTGTGTATGTCTGCGTGTCTGTGTGTGTGTGTGTCTGTGTGTGTATGTCTGTGTGTGTATGTGTCTGTGTGTGTATGTGACTGTGTATATGTCTGTGTATGTCTGTGTTATATTATATTATAACAGGGCTGTGGGAAGTTCTCATCAAGCAATGGAGCCATTCCATGTTGGATTTTGGCATTGAAGGTGTTAGCCTCTTAATTTTTATTTTTACACAGGTAAGTTCCAGGTAAAATTTTTATTTTCACAAAAGTTCCAGTAAGTGGTTAGTAGCTGTTCACTTTCATGACAAGATCATTTGGCCCCTGCTGCTGGTACCATTAATGCAATCCTTGCACCAAAGTGATGAGTTGGAAATGTAAAACGTGCAGTAAGTGCCAGGGAAATCTCTCTCCTTTCGTTTGTTAGCTCTAAAATCTTTGGGCATTTCTGTGGCATCTATGTGTCAATGTCAGTGAGCAGTTAAGTTTCCTTAGATATACCTGATCACACATCAGAGAACGTTGTGATGATTTGATTGGTTGGTATGCCCGATACTATCTGCAAAGGAAATCCTGATGAATTATCAGTATGCCCAGCAGCTAACTTGGGGGTATTCATGATCTTCTGTTAATGAAAGCACACTAGGGCTAACATTTGAAGACACAGATTCTCCTTGGGCAGCTACGCTGTTGGGCTTAGTATATCTGGGTCTCAAGCAGACAGAGCCACGCCTTCCTGGACATACGACACCCAGCAAAGTAATACTTGATTGGAAAAGATACTTGTTAGATTATGTAATACACACTCATAAATAACGCTCTGGGAATCACACACCAAATGACATGAAGTTGTGTTCTAAATAGATATTTATGATGGCAGTAATGTTATTTTATTATACTAAAAATTATTGGGAATCCCACAAGTTCCCGAATCAGCAGTTAGGAATTGAAAAAGAAAGGATATTAATCAGTGCTGTCTTTTATACCTGTAATGGAATTTTTTTTAAGGTGAGAAGCAGAGTACATTCCAGGGTGCTTGACTACAAGTAACTGAAACCAAGTCTAATTGCCTTTGGAGAGAAAAAGATTCATTTGAAAGGAAGTAAGGTGGTTCACAAGCCTATGGGACCTCAATAACGAGGCTTGGCAAGTCAGCGCAGACTGAGTGCGCATGCTACTGCAGCAGGATTGAGGTCACACCTAACACCTCCCTGGTGAGCAAGCTGCAGCCCTGCCACCAGCGACATGGGTGAGGAAGAGCCACCAGGCCTTCCAACACCATTGCCTCGCACCTGGACACAGCGTTTTCCCTCTCCTGGCACACTGTCCTGTCTCTTTATATAACTGATACACAATTTAAAATCCAGAATTGGAAGATCTGATTGGTTGACCCAAAGACAGGTGTCATGCCCCACCTTCTGGGACGAGGAAGACAAGTGTCTGGCTTCCTCAGCTTCCGTAAAGGGGAAGCTCTGACTTGTTCCACAATAAGCAAAAGGGGGGATCTGAAGGAATAAACCTGTTTAGACATGACATTGGCCCCCAAAATTGAACATTAAAGCTGCAAATGTCCAGTTCAGAAAATCAAAATAAAATATTTCATTGGCTAAGGATCTAAAATAGTAAAGATTGCTTCACAAGCATAAGTTTGCAGAAAGGTCAGTGGGCTAATCGGAAAGGATTATTTTTTATCAATGCATTTCCAAGAGGTAACTAGGATGGCTACATTTAAAACAACCGGAGCCTTCAGAGTCATTAGTAATTCTAAAGCATGACTTTCATGCTACCATACGAAACGTATGCACACATTTTGTGTTGTGGAGTAGCCAAACAGATTCTTCATTTCTGCTTGTTAAGGGTTGCAGGTAACATGGAACTGGGCATTTTGCCCGCTGGAACTCATCTGTAGCCATGTATTCCCATTATTCCACGTGCCCGGTAATGCCAGGGTAGCCGAGTCAATCTTCCACCGGGAAGCACTCCAGACCTCGAGGGCTGAGGGGAGGCGCGGACTCAGCACCAGCGGTGCCACGGCTCAGCCTGGCGCCTGCCCTCCAGGCCCTGGCCCTCGGAGCGGCCCCCAGACCGGCAACATCAGAAACGCAGAGCGCGGGCCCAGCGGGAGCTGCCGACTCAGAGCCTGCAGTGACACACCCCTCCTGGGTTCCGTGACCCTGTGCGGCTGGCAGCCCGGGGTCAGGACATTTCCTTGTCACCTTGTGGCGACGAAGCCTAGTTTCCTCCAGTGCGATTGTGAGTACACCGGGACTCCACATTCACCGAATTACATAATTTCCTCTCCTCTTCTCTGGGACTTATCTCCAAAGAAACCCTCCAGGGGCAGGCGGCCAAAGGGTGGGGAAGTGCCTGCCCTAGCTGGGCGAGCTCCCCGCCGCTCCCGGGCAGGCCTTTCTGCCCGACTCTGAGTCGTATGGGTGCCGCCCCACCCCAGACTGTCCTGCCGCTGGTGAGCACAGGGCGGCGCCACCCCAATCCTCTGCGGGTTCGCCGCGCGCCCCAGGTGCGGCGGCGGGAAGTGAAAGAGGGAAGAAGAGCCGGACTTCTCCCGCGCGGGGGGAGCGGTCGGGAAGTCCCTCAGGGAGGAAGTGAAAGAATAGGCGACACGGGCCGTCGAAACGCAGCCCAGGAAGCCCGGGAAGCGAGCGGGCTGAGGAGCTGCCCCCGCCCTCCCCGCGCCCCCCCCGCGCCCCGCCCC